TGATGCTCTGTGCTGTGGTGACGCTCTGTGCTGTGGTGATGCTCTACACATCCTTCCTCCCTCAGTACTATTTTCAAGGCATTGGTGGTGGTAGAACAGAACTCTTCTGTCTGAACTTTTTATACTTTGAACAACAAACCGTGGTCAAAGGCTGTGGATTGCTGTTGATCCACAGGTGACCGTAGGTGAAATGTAAGACTTGAGCCTGTGATTGGGCAGTTGAAAAGGAAGACGATCTGAGAGTTTCAGAGTCAGGACAGAGAGGGACAAACAGACAGAAGGGCAGAGAAGATGGAGGAAAAGAACAAACCAAATCCATGTGGCTTGAAATAGCCACAGGCAGCTATGAATATCATAGAAGGGATAGAATAATATAGGACAATCTATCCAGTCTAGCTGGGCAGCTTGTACAAATATCATTTGGCTCTGAATTCATTGTGTGGGCATTTTATGAGTTGAGAATTTACTATTATAAATCTTAATGATAAATTACAATCCTCCAGACTTTTGATTTTACTGGGTTACGGGGATTTGTGACAGCTAGCTGCTGGGGATGGATGACTGAGAACACAGCAGTTCAGCACCAAGTGAACCACAGGAATTTGGGCGGTACCGCTGCATGGGGATAGCCTTGGGGACAGGGAGATCGCTGCAGCCAGGGAGTAGCCGGCCATAGCATGGATTGTTTTTTTTTATAACTAATGCAACAAAAAACAGGTGGCATAGCCATAGTTAAGAAAACAGGTAATAGTGCCCTATCCCCTCTAAAGAGTAAATAAACTCATTTTCATTTTATTGAAGTAAAATAACAATAACAGCAATGACAATAATAATTAATAATCTTGACTCTTCACTATACAAATCCATACTCCTAAAGTCATTTCACAGTTGGGAACCTTTGCTCTTAAGCTTTCTAGACAAGTTTCATCCACTGGAGGGTAACTCAGGTTGGAACCCAAAGCCCTGGTCACACATCCATGTACCAAAAGAAAGATTCACCTGCTTCAAGCATGAGGTGCCTTGTACTAATTCTTTTTTCTTTACTGTTGGTATGTATGTATGTATGTATGTATGTATGTATGTATGTATGTATGTA